TATATATATATATATATATATATATATATATATATATATATATATATATATATATATATCCATTCATTGTTATATTAGTTTAATATTCAAGAAATATAATATTCAGAAAAAATATATCGAACTATATATATTTTAGAATAGAAGGTAGACCTCTTCAGCATAGTGACAGGTGGAAGCATGTAGCCCCTCATTTCCGCTTCTGTCTTTTTGATATGCACAATCTTGAGGCCGCCGGATTGTACGAGGCTCACCAGAAAACTTTCTATCCATCCCGGATTGCCGTGACTTTTCTCTTGTATCAATCTGAAAAAGTAAAGCATGGGGATACACGAATCAACTGATAATTCTTGTTATTTATTAGTAAGATCCTTTTTTCAATAACCGAGCCAACTAACTTTTCGAGTTCAACGGGGATCCCCCAAACATTAAGGATCTGACAAGCGAGGGCTGCGTGATACCACTTGTCTATATGTTTTAATTCGATCACCTATTAACGAAGGACAAGTTTTATCTCAAGACTATAACATCTTAATGATATCTTAATGACATCTATAACATCTATAACATCTTAATGATATCTTAATGACATCTTAATAACGTCTTTAGATGTTACCTTGCTATCTTGGATATGTTCGCAGATAATTTTTACGCAGTAAGATGGTTCTTAATGGAATCTTTAGTATCGTATAGCAAACCCGCTTAAAACATTATATCAGCTTCAAGAAAAATAAAAAAAATCTCAAAGTATCTCATTAAATATTTAACTATTTAACTATTTAACCATTGAATGTTTAACTAATTGACTATTTAATTATTTAACTGCTTACTTATTTATTTATTTGCTTGATTATTATTTAATTATTATTTAATTATTTAATATTTTTACTTAATATTTTTATTTAATATTTTTACTGTTCAGTTATCTAACTAATTAATATTTCCAATGCTATTCGTTTATATCTATCTATCAAGATCTTCGTATAGAAAAACCACAAAAAAATATTAACTGTTTAACATGACTAAAAAATACATCTAAAAAAAGAATCCTAGTTGCAAGGTGTTATTCTATAATATAATAAGTGAAAACTTTTATCTAACTCCTACAGTCACAAAGTAACTCTATCTTACAGTATTCTTTTGTTGTATTCATACCTGCGCTCTTTCTATAATGGCCAGTTCGTACTCCATGTCGATTTTGCGTCCAATACCAAGGACAAAGAATACCGTGTCCTGCCTAATCATCGTATGGAATAACTGCATGGAATCGTCGTCGCCGTATTCAGCATCGTCAATGATTATTACCCATAGCTCCTCAAAGCAGCTTCTCATTAGCTTCAACAGAAATTTACGCAGCACCTTGCGCTTCAACGTTTCGGACAACATCTTGTAGCGCTCGCTCATCGTGAAATGAACGTTGAAGGGCTGATTGAGGGTGCAAAGGAACTCTGGCTGATGTATACGACCCAGTCGAGAGATCAGCTTGTTCTCACGCTCTTTTGGAGTAGTGGCGACATTGAAGCCCAGCGGCATCGAGAAGATCAGATGAATTAGACTGTAAGAAGTCTGCGCGGAAGGGAACGATTACTTATCATTTGCTTTCTAAATTCATTGAAGTGAATTTTCACTCGAAAAACAGTGACAGCCGAGTCACCTGAATTCGAGTGATTTTCCATTAATGTAGAGGAAACTCTTCAGAGTCAGAATTCACTTTAAGCTTGAGTGAAACATTAATTATTGCGATTTTATGTGGCAATTTTTTCACTGTTGCTTTGAGTGAGATTCTATTCCAGGAAAAATTTGAAGAGTAAGATTTCGCTTTAAGAAATTTAAAGACTTTGACTCTTTGATATTCCTTTTTTAATTATCATCTATTGAATTAGCTGTTCAGCTGAAGATAAGATCAAAAATAAAAATAAAGAAGAGTTAATAGGAGTTCAGGCACAGTAGTTTTAGTGCTATAAAACCTAAGAAAATAGATGAAAGTTCCTTATATTGGGAAACCAAGTATTGTACGTTCAGCGTTGTATATTTCGATATATATGTATATAAACCGATGCTGAAACTTGGAGGATTATCTGCGACAATATTATTCTTGCCTTGAGGTTTGGCCTCTACACTATGTTCAAGGTAACTTGCTGAACGGTTATTCGGCTTTATCCTTATTTTTTTTACATTTTTCCTACACGCCTTTTCTTTATTCCTTTACACCATTTTACCTATTTATTTTTTAAACCTACTTCCTTTCCTTTCGCCTTTTTACTTCTTATCCTAGGTATATCTTAACCTATAATTACATTGGCAAATCCTAACCTTAGCGTCATTCATGACCAAAGTGATATAATTGCACGGTACACCCGTGGGGATATTCTGCGCGATTTCGTCCAGCAATCTCGTCTTGCCGATTCTATGCTCGCCTCTGAAAATTTCATCAAAAAATTGCATTGAGATTCACGTCGGCAGTTAATCACGAGAATTGCAAGCTCACTTTATAATCAGCGTGTTGTATTCGGGCCTCGAACGCTGCGTTGTCTTGCCCGCGGTCGAGTGTTCTATCAAGTCCGTTAGAATCTGCCGGAAAAGTCGGATTTCCATTTCTCGTCCGAGCAAAGGATACTTGCTCCATACTAGTTCAGGTATATTGTGTCTGCGCGCGTTGAATTCCCATTAAAAGATGAGAGGTATCCAGTAAGTAACATTCAACGGTTTGGATCAAGTAATATTATTAGTTTATTTGCTTGATTATTTATTTAATTACAAAATATAATAATTTCGCGCAAAATAAAATGTACAAAATTATAATATATTTTAAAAACGACATTCAATGTTACAAATTATTTAGAACTTTTGATTGAGTTTCGAGAGCGTAATTAATTATATATTTATATGCCGTTATTCAGTTATTTAAATTAACACTTCATTTATAAAACAAATATAAATTGAGCAATAATAAAAAATCGCCAAACTGTGATTATATTGCGAAGATATAATTATTTTTTAATAGGTTGAATGTCATGATGATTATCGGTAATAGGTTTATGACTACTATGTGTTGTTAGTTTACGTATAACGTATAATTGACAAATTACTTTGCTTGCTCCCGAAACTCGTAGACGGGGCCGACGTTTGTGATTCCTTTCAGGTATCGCGGCTCTTGTAGTATAAAATGTCTCGCTTCGAGGTAAGAATGCAAGAAACTTTCACGATCACATATCACCTTGACAATAGAGACAATTGCATTGTATGAGAGACAGAGTCGAAATTTTGGCTACATATTAATTTAAAATTAATTCAATGTTAATTTAAAATTCTCTCAAGAATCTCAAAATATCAAAATGTTATGTATATTACTATTGTTCATCTTTGATGCTTGTTTATGAACTATTTAATATTTGATTATCTCTTCACCTGCATGTTTATTCTTTATTCTTAATTTTAATGTGCAATATATTTTATTCAGTCACGACAGAGAATATTAATAGAAAATTTCGAGACTCAAAAATTTACTAAACTTCCCTTATAGAAATATCATACTAAGAATCATTGATAATTACTTATTATCCAGTATTTTTAATACTGTAAAATAAGTAATTATCAATGATTCTTAGTATGATACTTCTATAAGGGTTTGCTATTACTAAATCAGTTTTTTCTATTTCTTAACTGTAATATTATTCCGATTTTAATGAAACTCAGGGAAAAATATTTATGTTCTGTATGAAAGGACCATTTCGCGACTTTGTAAGATACACACTAAAAAATAATATATGAACAATGTACCTATAATCTTTGTCTCCCTTACATGATAAAATTATAATTATTTATTAATACGTTGAATGTTCCATGACGATCAATGGTGTAACAAGTACTATGACATTATCAAAAATAGAAGAAAATAATTTTTTTATCTTTTTAGAGTTAGATTACCATGTTGTTGTACGCGCACATCAGACGTGCCGCCTTGTTCACCGAAATTCCGATCACAGTGTATTCCCTTCGCAAGATATGCCCGACCACGCCGCAATATGTTATCCCGGTGGTGACGGCGATTGTCACGGATTTCACATACTCCATCGCCAAGAGGTCCTCTCGTACCCTGCTGGCGCATCTTAAGCCGATCTGCGACTCCAACTCCTGCTTGTCGCCACGCAGGCCGAATACGCAGAGGAATATCAGATCCTTATCGAAGAGCGACGTCTTGTTCACACATCCCCGCATCTTGCCGATTCTCCTTAACATGTTCCGGAGTTATTGTCGCATATAAGACGAGTCATGACGTGTCATGACGAGTAAGTCGCCAAGATTTGTGTTGCTACACGTGTAATGTTGCAAGTTCGCGAGATTTTCTTCGCGGCAAGAGGCCTTCTACGTGCGGATGATACAATATTCAATAACAAGCTACTACGTCCCATACAACATAAATCTTCAAAAAACGTTCTAAGAATGTTGCTTCCGAACGATATCTCTGAGCGTTATCTAAGGAGAGGAGAGTGTCGTGAGCATAGACTTAGTATTATAGACTGCGTATTGGGCTGAGCGGGACCTCTCTCAAGCTAGCAGGACCAAATGAGCAGAATCGAATTGGACCTATCGCATTTTTTAGTACTCATTTTGTACTATTTTGTACCACAAAAAAACATTTGTACCACGTGTCATTTTAAAAAAAATAATGGCGCTGCTAACTTGATATCAAGCTAGCAGGACCAAAAAAAAAATTAAAAAAAAAAATAAACCATGGTATACACAATTAGTACTAAATTTGTACTAATTTGTACCATTCGAAATAAATCGAAAATTTTATATTTTTCCCTTTAAACAACCCTTGCCTTATCTAAACCTAATATAAAGATAGCAGGATTACGATTTTTTCACTTTTTTTTTGATGGTACAAATTAGTACAAATTCAAAAACGGTAGAATCTATCATTTCTTGTCGGTTTTTACCAGTTTTTATTTTGTTCTCTTTATATTAAGTTAGCAGGACCACAATATTTTTTTAAATAGTACGGGGTACAAAATTATTTTTTATGGTACAAAATAGTACACAATGAGTAATAAAAAACGCAACAAATATAATTTTATTCTATCGATTTAATTCTTAATAATCGAAAGAGAGAAATTTTATTTTTGAGGTTGGTTAAATGTGAGGTTGTTTTAAGAGGTAAACAGAAATATTTGCATACTTTTCTCGGTGGTACAAATTAGTAGAAATTCAGAAACGGTAAAATCTATTGCAATTTGCCGTTTTTCAATGATATTTACTCTGTTAACTTAAAATTAAGTCAGCAGAACCACAATTTTTTATAAATAAAACAAGGTACAAAATCATTTTTAATGGTACAAAATACTACACAATAAGTACTGAAAAATGCAATAAATTTGATTTGATTTTACTGATTTAATACTTAATAATCGAAGCAGAAAGCTTTATTCTTGAAGCTGAGGTCAAAGTTGAGGTTATTTTAAAGCGTCCGCAGAAATATTTTTGATACATTTTTTGGTGATACAAATTAGTACAAATTCTGAAACGACAAAATATATTTGTTTCGTTTTTTTTAATTTTTATTTTGCTGACTTTATATTAAATCAGTAGGACTACGATTTCTCTTAAAGGATATGGAATACAAAATTGTTTTTAATGGTACAAAATTACATTAATCGTGTAGTAATCTTAAGAACGTCCCAGAACATTCTCTGAAGATTTTGTGCTATCTAGGATTTCCTTCGCAGAGGAAATCTCCGCAAGCTTGCAGCACTACTGATGGCACGGCCGTACCGTACCTGTGCTAGGATTCTGTAACTCGTTATTAGAGTTAACGATAGTTTCGTTATCGTTGCGCAGCTTTTGTATACCGTAGAAAAGCTGCGCAATGATAATGAAACTGTCGTTAACTCCAATAACGAGTTACAGAATCCCAGCACTGGCGTCCCTATTTCTAAGGACGCCATTTTGTCCATGATGCTAAAAATCGGCCCGAGATCTAGATCTGAGAAAACATTTTTTCTCGCAACCAATTCATTTGCTGTACGGGAAGGCGAGAATTTTATTGGTTACATGTTTCTCGGATCGAGATCTCAGGTCGATTTCTAGCATTGTGGACTTAAGACTCGGAATACATCGTCCGCCGCGGATCTAGTTTTACGCGTGCGAGATAATTGCGGTGCGAGCCGGAACGCGATATCGTCTCGAGAAACAAAGAGCTGCATTTCGTTGCGTCGCGTCTGCGAATTATTAAGCCCATTCTACAATTGCGTGAACGTGGTTGTATGTGATTACGACAACCAATCAGAATAAAGCAATCAGTAAATAAAACATTCGGATTGATTGACTCTTACGATCACGACTACGCTTACGCAATTGTAGAATGGGCTTTAGGCTCCTATTCCGCCTCGAGAGCGGACTATCGAGCGAAGAAATTAAGTTGTTTTTTTTTCTCTAGATTGTATGCCACTGACGCTGGAGAAAGAGGCGACGACAACAGAAAGAAGTTTAAAATGCTAGTAGACAAGCTTGAAAAGGAAATATACGAAGATCTCTACAAACAATTGTTCATAACATCTTCGCTACCGCTACCTCTACCGATGACAATTAATTCGTGGGAGTTGGATCAGCGACAAAAACAAGGCGTCTCGCGGGTGGATGACCCGTTATTATCGCGAAGGTCAAAGGAGTGTTTCGTAGGCTGGGGCTACGTAGACTCGGACTACGCGATATGCGAAAATATCGCATCAAGCAAAAAGAGCGACAATCTCAGCGACTACAGCAAGACGAGCGGCGATCGCTCCCCTGATAGGAAGGGAGTGGACTCGCCGAACGAATGTCTAGATAAGAAGAGTTACGAAGATGAAGAGGATACCGAGGATGAGCGATTGATAGTCCACTGCTCGAATTGCGGTCAAGAGGGACACATAACGTTTTATTGCTTACAACCGCCAATGAGGAATAAGTGTAGTCGCAGTGAGTCGGTCGCCACGAAGAGAGAGAAACAGATAAAGATGGTAAAGAAGGTCGTTACCTCTTTGCCACAAGAAGAAAATCGCGCGAAGAACGCGGTAGAGTTGCGCGAGAGTCAAAAAATAACGGAGCGGATGCCAGAACCGGAGGGAGCCGTGAGAGAAGACGCGAAGCGTCCCTTATGTACCTGCGGTATAGGATATTTTGAATTCAGCGCAGGCGAAATGAAAATAAGATGTCTCATTGACACCCGTTATGCTTATTAATAAAAAGATATGGGAGTGTTTACGCGATAGGAAGTGGCAAGTTGGACGGAAACCGGACTGGAACATTCTTCTAGCGAATGGGAAGATCGAGACGATTAGCGAAACGCTTTTCGGGGTAATCGAATTGCAAGGTCGTCGCTGTCCGGTCACTCTCTATTATATGGAGAACTTGAAAAATGAGGCATTATTTGGAACAGAATTTTTAACAGCATTTAATATTGTCTTGGATTACAGTCAGATGCTATGGTGGTTCGGAGATAAGCCCGAGGATCAGTATGAGTTGACGAAGTATTGTGAAGTGCATTCACACGAAATCGTCGAGACGGCAGACGACAGCCGAGTTGTTACAGTTGTGGATTAAGAATATGAAAACGACGGACGAGGTAGTTCCGGAGGCTCAGATTTATTCTAGACCCAAGTAGAAGACAAAATCATTTTGATATCATTGTCATGAAAATGGTATCATTTGATGTCATTTTGACTTTTATATGACTTCGTGTTCTACCTGGGGAGAAGCCGGATGTCGGGGCGCAGGAGCTGGTGCGGACGGCGGAGAGTCATCTGGGAAAAGCGTTTCCCAGACACAACGCGGAACACCATCGCCGAATCGTAAGCTGCCAAGATTTGTGTTGCTACACGTCCGGACGTTCCGGATGCCATGTCCGAAAATTTGGAGTTTTCTATCGATTTTTTACAAAAATTTGTATACAGGGGTTAAAAAACCCCTGTATACTAATTTTTATGAAAAACTAATGGATAGAAAAATGAGTGTCTGAGTGTTAAATATAATTATATATGAATTTTTTGTTCATATATGTAATTTTATATGTGGCTATATCTGATAGTATATAATTAATTATATATATATATATATATATATATATATAACATTGTATATAACATTATATTATTGTCCATACAGAAAAAAACTCTGTTAAACGAAAAAAGGAAAACAATTTGATTCACTTAAATGTCGATATCATGGATTACTACAAACATAAGCATTTACTTCTATTGTATCTTCTCAACAACATACTTTTCAATGTAGACATATATATTTATATATGATCAGATATACCCAGATAGCGAAATCTGTGTAAACAACTTTTGAACAGAACTTGCTACAAGTTTTGATGGCAGGAAGGCAGCAAATTCAACAGGGTTTGTTATATCTGATTATGTTGCTAAGCTGCCACCAGAAATGTGACAGAGCCTGCTGACAATCCAAGCGGATTGGCGGCAGAAACCGAGCAAACTCTGTTGCGAGACAAGATCTGCGCGGTTTCTGCTACCAATTTTCTTGCATTACCTGTCAGCAGACTCTGACGCCAAAACACGAGCCGAATGCGAACATAGATGGTTTTGGTACGGAGTTCTCATAAAATTTGCTGCCAATCTGCACGCATTTTGCTATCAATTTGCTGAGACAAAATCCATATATGAACTTTTTCTCCGGATATAATTATTTCTGTAGGGACGCGTCCCGATTGTCGCGCTTACTCGCACACTAATTTGTAAGACGAATTGACGAGTGAGATCAACTTCTTCATTTCGATATTCGCCGTAATGACGTTGATGAAGAGGATGACCACTTGTCTCATCTCCGTGAGGTGCTCTAGCGGCTCGTCCATCTCCACGGATCGTATTACTGGCCTAAGCATATAGCTCTTAAGCGAATCCTTCACTCGCATTTTAGCCACCTTTACGATCTTCGGTCTCACTGTGCCGTTATAACGTTATGTTAACATTAATGTTAAAATCAACTGTTAAATACATTTTACACATTTTAGATTTTTTACACATTTTACTCTAATATAAACAATAGATATTTTAGAATTTAACGTTAGGTGACTCACCCTGTATATTAATTATATATTAAGTATATGTGATTAATTTTATAACAAACATTATTAATTGATACATTGAAATAACACGTTGATTTTAAAATAGGAACAAAGTTCTCAAATATTACTGTGACAGTCGTGTTAAGAAAAGCAATCAGTAATTTGGAACAGAGATCGGGACACGTATCATAAAACTTATCGGAATCGATTCCGATCGGAATAATTCCGTTTCCTCTAGAAAAGACAATAGAAATCTAGGAAATAATTGAATGTTTCCGATCGGAATTGATTCCGAAAAGTTCCATAATACGTGTCCGGAAATGGATTGTTCAAAGAGAGGCACGCGAACTTCGCGTGCCTCTCTTCTCACTCATTAGAACTTACGGCTGTAATCGACTTGCTCAAACATGCGAATTTTCAAGGTATCACCGGTCAGGTTCATTAACGCTGCTTCAGCTTCTGTGCTCGGCACGTCATCATCGGACGATGTCAAGTGGCTGGTGCTTCTGTCATCGCGCAACTGTTTGGCGTCGTTTTTATCTGATAAGTGTATTTTTATAAGTTAGTTTTTAGTCCTCAAAATTAAAAATCCTTTGTTTATGTAATACATCAAACACTCTTCATGAGTAATTTGTTTTGCAATTTTACTTGTAACTCCAAATTTCTTTTTAAATGGAGAAAATTAGATACTCGAGAGTTCAATCTATTAGGACCTTAACTTAGTTTCCGCCCGCAAATGTTAGATGGCAATGCAAACAGTTCTAGTAGTCATTACTAACGAAACAGGTAGTTTGTGATTAATTTCGACATTTCTCGATAACATTCAGTCAGCATACACAATTATTTTCCTAAACAACAATTTCTTTTGCTTTGTGAAAAATGGAACGCGATAAAGTGTTTTTTCGACATGTGCTTTTGCACTATTTTGATTTGAAAAAAAGTGTAGCAGAAGTTCATCGATTACTTGAAGAAGGTTATGGTGATCGAGCTCCATCACATACAACATGTAAAGAGTGGTATAGACGATTCAAAAGTAATGATTTTGATGTCAATGACAAACCACGCTCAGGACAGCCAAAAAAATTCCAAGACGATGAATTGCTAGCATTATTGCATGAAAACTCGGCTCGAACGTTACAAGAACTTGGAAACGAGCTAGGAGTTACTGAAGCAGCTGTTTCCAAACGTTTACACGCCATGGGAAAGATCCAAAAGGAAGGAAGATGGGTACCACATGAATTGTCTGAAAGTGCCATTCACAACCGTTTCAATATCACGGTTTCGTTGCTTGCCAGGCAAAAAAAGAAGAGTTTTCTGTGGCGTATTGTGACTGGCGATGAAAAGTGGATCTACTACGACAATCCCAAACGCAAAAAATCATGGGTAGACCCAGGACAACCATCAACATCGCAGCCAAAACGGAACATCCACGGTCATAAGGTAATGCTTTGCATTTGGTGGGATCAGCAAGGAGTGCTGTACTACGAACTGCTGAAACCAAACGAAACTGTTACTGCCGATGTCTACAAATGTCAATTGAACAAATTGAATGATGAGCTGTTGCGAAAAAGACCAGCAATAGCGAGTAACAGGCGCAAAGTTATTCTCTTACACGATAACGCTCGGCCACACACTGGAAAAACCGTCAAAGAAACACTGACGCAGCTCGAATGGGAAACTCTTCCTCACCCAGCGTACTCACCAGACATAGCGCCTTCTGATTACCACTTGTTCAGATCGATGCAGCACGGCTTGAGTGGTACACGCTTCCGAAATGTTGAAGAAGTGCGAGAATGGGTGGACGAATGGATTGCTTCGAAACAAACATCGTTTTATCGAGATGGTATCGCCCAGTTGCCAGAAAGATGGCAAAAAGTTGTAGAAAGTGATGGAAAATACTTTCATTGAAATAATTTAAATAAATTTTTTACAATAAATGCTTTTTCTCAGTATTTTTTGGGCGGAAACTAAGTTAAGGTCCTAATATGATATATCCATTCTGTTTGGGAGAGGTCTCGTCGTGACCGTTACTCGTTGGCTCGCTCAAAGTAGAGTGTGAAGAGCAGAGTTCGCGGATGAGCAATAATTTGAGACAACTCTTGAGATGAGAATTCAACAACCAGTGTAATTACGTAAAAATTTTTCTAGCTCTTTTGTATTATGTAAGAATATTATGTAAGAATATTATGTAAGAATCTTTCTAGTTCTTTCGAATAAAAGATCACTTTGTAGAATTTGAAATTCTTCATTTCTTACTTCCAGCATTGATGTCCATATCCTTAGCTCTAGGTTGGTACCAAAGCATCGTCGAGCAAGCAATGATTAACGTATGCTCGCCGTCCGGCAATTTTTCATGAACGTATTCGTTGGGATTCGCCCATTGCCAGCTGCTGGATGCCACGATGATGTCGCCACCTCTGAAAATAAAAGCAATTTTATAAGTCCTTACTCATTATTAGAGTATTATTTAACTCGTAAAGTGAATTAAAAGAAAATAAATATTATCATGCATAAACGAATAAGCAGATAACAAAGAGATTCAAATGCATAAACTAATTAATACATACATACCGACATAATCCCTCGGCAAATTTTACATCCCACACAGGCTTCCCGGTAATGAGGTAGTAGGACATCATTTTTGGATCACCGATGGACGTAAAGTGCGTCTTTCCGGAGGCGATCGCCAGTTTCACTGTCAACGATATTGTCATTTACGACGTGCACGTATTCATGCGTTTGTTGTTGTTGTTATTATTATTATTATTAACAACCTTTTGCAGTCGTAAAATCCGGGATATTCTTATTCAAAATTTTTCACTTTTTTTTATATGAAGTTTTGCAGAATATCAAGTAACTTTTATATGAATTCAATTTAATTCATTATTGATAACTATAATAAACTATTATATTAATATGCGCTATGAGAAATTCAGCAACTTTTTCATTCCATACAGACAGGACTACGTAAATTTAATAGCAACTTTATACTAGTCGATTTGCAAAAGTTGTATTTTTTTATTTATGAATGGTTCATATGACACTCATATTTTTCACACAGAATTATGAAATAGAAATATGAAAAAAATACGAAAATAATGATCAAAATTTGCTTAAA